AGTATGTGCCACTTTGCTAACCATCTCTTTAAAGCATCCATTTAAAGCTGAGGAAAAAACAGTCAACTCATGAACTAAAGTCTTTGGTTTACCTGCCATTAAGCAAATGCTGCTAATGCTTTCACTGGGCTTTCTTGAAACTTGGAATTTTTATAATGGCCTGTTTGCATTTTATGTAGCATGTAATCATGCTAAGAAGTCTACTTGTTTTATTTTGTTTTACATTGTGTGTGTGTGTGTGCGTGTGTGTGTGTGTGTGTGTGTGTGTGTGTGAGAGAGAGAGAGAGAGAGAGAGAGAGAGAGAGAGGGAGGGAGAGAGAGAGAGAGAGAGCATGCCCACTGAAGACTGCATGCCCTCGACACTGTATCCATGTAGAGGTCAAAGGACAACTCAGAGTAATTGGTTCTATCTTCCACCATACAGATTCTGGGGATTGAACTCTGGTCACAGGACTTTGCCTTAATTGCCTTTACCCACTCAGCCATCCCTATAAATTAATACAAAGACTACACAATATCTTTGGGCTGGATTCCACCTGAGACATGGGAGAAGAGCGTTGGTTTTGTCTGGGTTATATATACAGTTTTCCCTGCGAGGCAGATGTTGAGTGGCCAGGTCTGCTATTAATGTTCCACATCTAGTTTTTCTCTGTAGACTTCATTGAACCTTTAGTGACAGACTGGGTTTCTTCAGAAAGGAGACCCAGGAGCATGAGGACAGAAAATGAGACCATTGCATAGCCCAGGCAGCCTCAGCGGTCAGTCAGGAGGTGGTATGCCACCCCTGTTCCGGCCTCCTTTTACCCTAGAAAACTTCAAATATGAATGTTTTCAATCTGCAACCACTGCCCTAGCTTTTGATTTTTGCTCTTGTACTACTGCTGTCCCTCCAGATACCCACTAATTCTGGTTCTTCTGTCTCTATAGCCAGGTGGACCTTAAACTTTCCATCTTCCTGCTTTGGCCTCTCAGGTAGCTAGAATTACAAACCTGTGGCACCAGGCCCAACTAGCCCAGTTCTTAAGACTTTTTCCTAGGAGCTGGGGAAGTGACTCAGCAGTTAATATGTAAGAGGCCCAGAGTTCAGATTCCCTTAAGACCCAGGGAAATAATGGGTGGGCATGGTGGTCTACCTGTAATTCCAATTTTGGTGTGCAAGAATGGATTCCCAGAGCAATTCAAGGCTAGCTGAATTGGTGAGTTCTAAGTCTGGATGGAGATCCTAATTTGAAGAATAAGGTGGAAGAGCAGTTGAGAAAGATTCTCCATATCAACTGTGAGCCTCACCGTGCATGACACACACACACACACACACACACACACACACACACACACCATATGCACACATAGTGAGAAGAAGAGAAAAGGTATTTCCTTGAAGACACACAAAGTCTGTCTCACCAGACTTTGGATGCCTTAGATATTTGATTCTCCTCCTAGAACCTCACAAGTGTCCTCCCAGTCCCACCAAAGACTGCGGCACAGCGAACATCCTCTCATCACGACGGGCATGATGATGAGGAACACACACATTCTTGTCGCTGCCTGATCAGAACAGTATGCTCTCGATTCCGACCTTCGCTCTTCTTCTGTTTCATCTTCTAAAATCAGCAGGGCAGTCTGGGTAATCCGCTGCACACACCATATGATTTCAGGAGTCTCTCTGCCTGTAATTTTTTTTTAAATTTCCATACCACCCACTTTGGAGAAGGGAGGGCTCACACAGCCCTGCCAGTTCTTAAAGTCCCAGGTCACTTTCAGTTTCCCCCAAGGGAACCCTGACAACCAGCCTCCACTGTCCCTTCCTAGTGGTCCCAGAGAATCAGCCTTAGGCCAGACAACAGACAAATGCAGGGTGAAGACATGTTGCTGCCTCTTGAAGGAAAACAAGATTATCGTTGCCTCTCGGATGGATTTTTAAATGCTCTTAATTTGTAAAAGGACTTTTACTAGTATTATGATTAGCACTGTTAGCATTGTTTTACTTATGTGTATGTGGTGGGGGCTGCCCAAAGAGGTGAGAAGAGGACATCAGATCCCCTGGAGCTGGGGTCGCCTGCAGGGCCATGTTTTCAGGCCCAAATGATATATATATATGGGTAGGCTGTGAACGCCCATCAGCAGACCCCACACCATGAGAGAAGCCCATAGCCCTTCAAGGTGTCTTTGACATGTTTGTGCTTTAAGTCACAGTAAACCAGATAAGACATGCCTTTATCATTTCTTTTTACCTGTTCCATATATGTATTAGTTGAAGTGACCAGATTAGAGAGAATTCATCTCTCCTAATGGATTATAAGCGTCTTCTTGCCTGGCTGTCGCCTGTTTCTGGGAAGCCTGTTCAGAAGCCCCAGGAAGGACTTCTTTCTGAATATACATTTGTATAAGGAGTTTCAGCAATTCCGTTTTTCCTCGAACACTTATACATTACAGCCACTAGGGGGCAACGCGGTTGAATTCCTTTGTCATAACCATGCATGGGTGGTATCTTAGATCCTTGACTAAAATATGTTGAGCACCCCTAAAATATGCTGGGGAACCTGGGACATTAAATACTCACCAACTTGAATTCTTTGTGTTTCTCCTGGTCGTTTGGAGGAGTTGATTGATTCCAACTTTGCTAAACAAAAAGGATCAGCTAGCCAGCCTCACCTTTTTAGATTACTCAAGCCTCAACAGTTTCTAGAAAGAAAAGAAAATGGACAAAACTGGGCCCTCATGTGAATGCCGTGAGTTGTACAGAGAGCTGTAGATCAGTCCCACATGGCCCACGCGATGAGCACAGCCTTGGAGAGGATGTTAGCACTGGAGCAGGGAAGATGGTGTTCATCTGCCAGATGATTGGATGCAACCCTTCCCCCACCCACAGTGAGTCTCTCCCTTTCCCTGGACATAGAACCCTGAGTATAACTTCAGCTTCTGCTGCCCTCAGAAGTGATGTCTTATAGGAGTAAGAAACGTAGTGAGATGGAAAGAACTCCAGGGCCTTGCCTTGAAGAAGACAGACTTAGGAGAGTAAGTTTTTAGTGTGTGTGTGTGTGTGTGTGTGTGTGTGTGTGTGTTTAAACTTGCTGCGCTGAGTTCTGACTAAACCGGTAATCTATGGTGTTAAAGGGTCATAACCACTTGGCTTGAATCCAAGGGAGCTGAGACCTCCAATACGACATCTTCAGAAGATTAACAAAAGACATGTTCAAAAGCAGTCCTTGAAAATTAATTGACTCGTCGGGGTGAAACTCGGGTTGTCATGGGGTGTCAAAATAGTTGCCCTAGGCATCTTAGTGATTTAGGTGTCAGATCACTTGGGGGAGTCCTGGATTTGAGTCTCAGTCCTGCTCCTAACTAGGCATCACAGCCCCTATGATTCCCTTTTTCTGAGCCTCTGATGTGCACTGCCGAAGACAGGAAAATTAGATAAACGATCTCAGAATTTCTCATACATCTGAGACAACAAAGATTTCTTTTCCAGGAAGTAGCCTTAAGGATTTACCCTCACCTTCCGTCTTTGTTTGAAGAACACAGTTAGAATTTTTCACTGTGAAATAGAAAAGAACACAACGGTCAGGCAAACTGCGTGATTTCTCCATCTGCACTTTATGAACCTTCTCTTAGGGCAAGACTAACAAGATCCAAGATATGGTTGAATCTGATATAAAAAGGGATTTTCCCCGATGGGATACCAGCAGGATGTTGCTGTGTAAGCCTCATATAAAATAAATTAATATCTGCTAGCTGTGTATAGAGCAGAAACTCAAGCCCAGTGTTTGTCCCCTAGCTGTGCTCTGACGGGATGCTTGCAATTTCCTCAAAATGAAAGAAAATAAGTAGGCCAACCCCTCTAGACTACAAACATGTAAGCTGCCTTTCAAAGAATGACTCACGGTTTATTTTTCTTTCTTATTTTCCCTTGCATAGGGGACACCAGTAAATAACTCCTCAGGTGTAAAGAAAATTGACCATCTTTGAGGAGTAAATTAGGTCTGAAAGAAAAATTCCATCCCTCACCTCTGAAGAAAAGTTCTCCAGCTCTTTCACAGGGGTTGGAGAGTCAGGGACTTTGTGGGCCTTCTTGGATCCCTTGAGGTAGCCGGTCTGTAGGCCTTCCTGTGTCCTCATGCAGGGAGCCAGGGTACTGGAAGTCCAGTGACTGTCCCCAAAAGTGCTGGTCAACATAGCTTCTCTCTGCGTTACTTGTCCCTGACACTTGGGTCCTTCCAGAGAGTGGCATCTCACAAAACTTAAAAACCATAATTTTCCTCAACTGGCGTGGCTTTCTCCTCTGGGCCCATCCCACAGACAGAAGAGCCACTGTAGGGAAAAGATTGGAATGAACAGCAACGGTGTCAGATCTCCCATTGTCCAGCCTCCCAGTCTGGCCCTACAGACTTGCCCTTTGGTGACAGCAAATCCTCTGATCAGTCAGTGCCACCATGGGCTGGGCAGGACCCCTGACCACGATGCCAGGCGCGAAGTCCAGTTAATTCACGAACTTCGGGCTTTCTATTCTTTCTGCTGTAATGATGCCTGGGGGTCACACTTTGCACTTACCGGCCAGATTTGAATCCCCTCTCTTGGAATATAATCTGGGGAAACCCTAAATATCTCAATAACCTCATTTGCCAAACGGAGAGAATGACAGCTGCCTGAAGCCAGGCCACGATGGAATAAGGCAGGGATCACGGGAGTGTAGAGTGAGCATCCATAAGGTTTAAGTACAACATAGGCTCTGATGCTCTGAGGTCCACAGCAACAAGCCTGGTGGCCTCAAATGTGCTCGCCCTTAACTCTGTACACTCTAGGGTCCCGAGGATTCTTGTAGGATGCGAGATAGAGTGAGCTGTGAAGGATGCTCCTGGGTCCAGAGCTTGTCCTAGACCTGAGCTGGCAGGACGCCAGCGGGGAACCCCGCCCTGGCGGCTGCCGGGTCCCCGGGGCTGGGCGCTGCTGGCGGAGCCGACGGGGCGGAGAGGAGCGCGGCGGGAGGAGGAGTAGGAGAAGGGGGCCGGTCAAGGGAAGTGCGACGTGTCTGAGGAGCCTTTTTATACCTCCTTCCCTGGAGCCCGGCAGCCACCTCCGCCATCCGCGTCCCTGCGCCCTGGATCTGGGCTCCGCCACAGCCACAGCATGTCGGGGGTCAAGAAGCAGAAGACGGTAGGCTGCCAGCCGCCTGCCTGGCCGTCCCCTCCCGCCCTGCCGACCCGCAGTGGGTCCCGCCCTCCCCAGGAGGCTCGGACGCGGGACTCTGAGCCGGGAGGGAAGACACGGGTGCTCGGTGACAGGCAGGGACGTGGGGCTAAGTCAGCGTTCCCCTCAGCGGGCCACGTTCGGGGAGCCCCTCGCTGCCCGGTGCCTCTGGGAACCTCCATTCCCGGGGGTGGGGGTGGGTATCCTACGGGCCAGAGTTCTCCTGAGCTTGCGAAGTGAGTCCCAACCAGAAAATAGGACCAGATAGGAAAGTCCCTTCTTCCTCCAATCCGAGTCCCGCTGCCCCGTCTTCGCCTGGACCTCAGCGCGCGCAGAGTGGGTGGTGGGCTGAGCTTCTGCCAGGTCTGCTCGCTGACCACACGTCAGCGACAGCCACCGGGTTCTTCTAACTTGGGACCCTTCTTGGAGTGAACTAATGACAGACTTTCACAGAATTGCAATTATCTAGGCTAACTGGAGGAAACTGCATTTCCATACCGGCAGGCTTTAACCCTCTAGTGTGATTCTCCTCTCCCTATTGGCACGCGGTGGGGCGCGGGGAGCTCCGTTTGATAAGTACGATAAGGGGGAGGGTTTCCAGAGGCTGCAGTTTTCTCCACAGCGAATCTGGGCAGTTCCCCTTTTCATGGGAAAGCTGAGGGTATATTTAAAGTTGCTTCCCCCATAACAACCCTGTCTGTCTCTTGTAAATTTTGCCTTCTTAAAAGTGACACTCTAGCCCAGTAAAAGTGGAGGAAAAGCAGTAGTAATCATAGGCTCTGAGTTAGAAGGAACCTTACAGACAGAATTCGGATTCCTCAGATGTGGTCTACAGGCCTTAAATAAAATCCCACCCAGCTAGCTAGCCGGCTGCTGACACTGGCCTCTACCGCCGCATTGCTTGCCTCCAATGACTGGCGACGGCGAGTAAACACAGACTTGGCATGTAGTAGGTGTTCAATAAATGTCATTGTACGCTGCTCACGAGCGTACTCTGAGGGCTGGAGAAGTGAGAAGGAAAGGAGGGTGGAGGAGTCGGTCAGGAACTGGAGGTGTGACTACGGGAAAATATGGGTGCCCTGCGTCCTGGGCTGAGGTGGTGGGGGGGTGTCACACTGGACCAGCGGAAGTGTCCAGGAGGAAGGTGGCATCACTATGAGATGGGACAACAGTCGGGAGTTCAGTTGCTTCTGATGGGTAACTTCAAAGTAGAGGGACCCTCAGGACCGCATGAAATGAGCTTTATGACTATTGCTTGTACCCTGCATCACTTGGTCAAGCTCTGTTAGGCGCCAAGTGGTGTTTCTGCCGTAGCAATCTTTTTTTTTTTTATGTTGGAGGCAATTAGTCTCACCTCCTCACCTGCTTCAAGAGCTTCCAGTGCCTAGGAGGGACTTTGTCAGTCATCAGCCAGAAAGTAAGTTCTCCCTTTTATTCCTCCAGTTAGAGAGAGTCTGTGAAGTACAGGACTGAAGGCAGGACCTAAAAGGTCCATCCCAGAGGCTCCAGGTTCCAGTGAGTGTGCTGCTTCTTCTTCTTCTTCTTCTTCTTTCTTGTTTTTCTTCTTCCTCCTTCCTTTCCTTCTCCTACTTCTCCCTTCTTCTTATTCTTTTTCGTCTTCTTCCTTCTCTTTTTGCTTCTTCCTCTTCTTTCTTCTTCTTCGTTCTGAGGCAGTGATCATTTAGTACCCCAAGACCTAACTGAAGAACTTCCCAACTTTTCCCTAGCTTAACAGTTATTTTCCAACAGCCGCCCCAAATTCCCCAAAAGCCCAGGACTTGCTGTTAGTCCTGTAAGAGGCTGGTTGTGAGTGCAGGTGAAGCTGTCAGTGTTAACTCAAACTGGGTCTGGACACCTTACAGAATAAATCAAACCTTTCTACACATGTGACCTCTGAACTCATCAGTTACTCAAGAAGCAGGTCTTGCCATCTCAGGAGGCAGCCTGGTAAGGGCTTTCCTTCATGGATTTGAAGAGACCTTTATGTTGCTCTCTGCCTGGTCAGAAGAGAACAGTCTGTTCATATAGCAGTCACCTCAATAACTTCGGATGCTTGTGGGACCCCCTTCTGTGTGCCTGATGAGTGTGGAAACCTGGGTGGAAAATGCAAAGTAACCTGAATATTGCATTGGCAAATTTTTGTCAACAACAAAATTTCTTTTCCTCGAGGTTTCTGTTGATTTATTGGGTGAATATAGTCTTCCAGATTATAACATTCTAGGACCAGTAAATGGTAACAACCAAATGAAAGAGTACATGGAGATGATTCATCAGCTCTTGGTGTGGGCGGTCCTTCTGTCAATGTATTGCTTTTATTGGTTAATGAATAAAGAAAGTGGCTTGGCCTATAGCATGGGAAGAGGAAGGCAGAGTTAGAGAGAAGCTATAGATCTGCCAGAGACAGACGCTGGGAACTTTAGCCGGCAAGCCACAGCAACATGGCCATACACAGATTAATAGAAATCGGTCAAATTAGTACGTAAGAGTTAGACAATAAGAAATTAGAGGTAATGGCTCCAGGGGTGAATTAATTAATACAGTCTCTATTCTCTATGTAATTATTTCAGGTCTAAGCTAGCTGGGCAGCCAGGAGCCGACAGCGGCCTCCTCCAACAAGCTCTAGAAAAAAAAAATCAAACTCTTAATAAAGAAAAGTAGCGCATCCCTTCTGTGTTAACCATCTTTACCATGGAGAACAAACAGCTGTCAGTCACATCTCTCTTATGCCCTGACTTAACTCTAGCCCTCTCCCCTGTATACACAGATAGATACCTGGGGAAGGAAAGACAGCCTGTCTGAGATGCCAGTAAAGAAAGGAAAGCCAAGCCAGGGTACAGACTTCTTGCACTATCTTCTGGGTTGGCATTTTTCAAGACTCACAGATTATATTATGATCCTCTGGAGACGGTCAACTAAAAATTACAACTGAGCTAATCTTGGAAGCTAAGCAGGGTTGGGCCCGGTTAGTACTTGGATGGGAGTTTGTTTTCTAAAGGGTAAAGCAAGTGGGTGTTGGGATTGCATGGAAGAGGTGATAAAATCATGAGGGCTCTCCACAGCTCTGGCAATGGTCTACATTTTCATTATTCTTATAAGTGGTGCTTTGCTTTCTTACAAGTAGCTACTTTTAAAACCAGTTGAAGACATTGTCCCAGTCAAGACATGAACGTGTAGATGAAGCATCTCTGGGTGGAGGGAATGGCCGGTCCTTGCTAGAGCTGTGAGCTCCACTGTGCTAGGCTTCCTCTCATCCCCGCAGCATCTCTCACCCTGGAAAATTACTGAGCCTCCAGGAGAGGAGAAATGTGGGAGGAGCACGATTTAACTTCAGGTCTGTTGAACCAGTAAAACTAACACGCTCCCTGGTACCTGCTTCAGGAAGTCACCTTCTCGCCTACTGTCTCTCGTGTGTAAAATGGGATCAAAGTGGCTTAATTTTCTTACCATTTGAAATACCATCTTATTGTGTAGCCCAGGCTGGCCTCAACCTTGCAGTCCTCTCAGCTCCACTTCCTGAATGCTTCGTGGCACACGCCTATCTTTACTTTTATTGCAGTGTACTGTTGTGGTTTGGCATAACAAAGAAGGCATGGGCTACTGGGGGTTGAGTAAATGACAGCCGCTCGGATGTTTAATAAGAGAAAACAAATGCAGAATTATGGAGGTGACATTTGAATAATTACTGAGAAAACCTGGGTGGACAAACACACGTCAGTAACCCAAATGTTGTACTACTGATAGTTTGGCTCTCACGTTGGTGAAGACTAGCAGTCCACGTATGACTAAATATTGGTCTAACTTCCTTCTACCCTTCCTATGCCTTTGCCTAGTTCCAGGTGTACCTTAAAAAAATCAATGTTTTCCCATTCATGCTGTGATTCCCAATAATGGGTCACCTGTTTGGACCTTCATAAAGTTAGAGATATTTACCCTTGAGGCTTTTGTCCCTGAGATAGCTATCTTTGTCTTTTATCATCTTCCTGCTAAGACACCTGGCTCTGTGGTTTTCTTCGGGAATAATTAGGCTTAGCTCAACCACGGAACCTACAGGGAATGAGATCCTGAGAAAGGAATCGGTGATGTCAGCTTCGGTCCTAAGAGACCTCTGTTTATTTCAGAATCTGCCACTAAACGGTAAGGGTTCACTAGACTGTGTTTGGAACTCTTTAGAGACCTCAGAAAACAAAGGTAAATTAGCTTCAGTGGATGGCAGGCAGGTCAGCAGACCTTCAGTGCCGGGGCAATCTGTTCATGTGGCAGCTGACACGGCGTGTATGCTCAGAACCTGCCGTGCTGCCTGGCCTGGAGAAAGTGCCCAAGACATGTGGAATGAATGGCTGAACTCATAGCTACAAAATTCATCAGTGCGCCACTGAAAATGTGCATTTTTAGTACATTTGATATTGACCCTTTTTGTTCTTGTGTGTTGGCTTATCTTTTTTTTTAACTAGGAATTTGTCATTATTGCCCCAAAAATTATTTCCTGGAATTCTTTGAGGCTGTGTGGCCTTTATCAGAACTGAGTTGCTTTTGATCCTGGCTTCACTCCTGGTCTGTGACCATTAGAACATAACTTCGCTCTTTGTAAATACCACCCAAGTGGTACGAATTTGAGTGTGTACCTAAGACCTACCTTGTGGATGCAGCCTTTTCACAAAATTCCACCCACCCTAACATGCCCTTCATACCCCAGAGTTACTGTCCTCAGAGGGCTAGAAGGTGGCCTTGTTCTGGTTCACCCTTATTTTCAGGGCACAACTCGGAGAAGCCCTGAATAATAGGAAAAGGGTCTTGTGTGTGTGTCCTACACTGATTTCTGTTCTGTTTCTACTAATCGGGCTGCTGCAATCAGTGCACATATGTTCCTGCCAGCAAAAATGCCTCATAAGGGGAAAAGCGCCCACAAACTTGCTCTTTGGGCTCCTATTTTGTTCCAGATTTCAGCCTGGTAGCTTCTTTCCATTCCA